TAAAACTAATTTTAAGTTATGATCCATAAAAAACCTTTCAAGTTGGCAGCGAGAACAATGACTCCTAGGGGAGATTTGCTGATCTTGCGTTTTAAGTTGCCAATTTTAACGATCGCAGCAATTCCGTGGGCATGCAAAACATCCATAAAATGCACTTCTTACCTCTAGCTCTATATGTGTGTGTGTTTTTAGCACCAGTAATTTAAACTTTAACACACTATAACACCCGATTGCGATTGAGTTTACTCGAGTGCTGTCTACCTATTATTTGGACACTTCACCTTCTATTTATAGTTCGCGTCGTGCCAAGTGGTTTCGAATTAGATGATAAACCCGGTAATTGGTTGTACAATCGCAATCGATTAAAAGCTTCCTCGTACGTCCGATCCGGTGGAAGTTCAATAAAATTGGGACCGAAAAAAGGCGGTGATAAGCCGGCGACACCAACACAACGCACAAAGTTAATAAAGGGCCCGACGACCCGGTAAAACACTCTATTGGAATTGGATCCCACGAACCTCGGATATCTCCTCCAACAAACTGCCCACGAAACTATGTTCAACAGTTTGTCATGCACTTTTCGAAATATTTATTATTTACGTGGGCACTCAATTTGATATGCAAGTCGATCTCTCCGTGGGCTTTTCCGAACTTTTGGCGCACTATGCCCAAGATGTTTTCGTAGCCTGAATTTTTATTATCGGGATACCAGAATTTCACTTATACTTTTATATTGCAACGATGCCTTCCGAAATACGCAGATACGAAAAAGAAATACCTCCGCTAACCGATCCGCTCCGGCCGAGATGAAAACAAACATTGACCAGTTTTCCACGCGCGTCCGAACAGCTGGGGATTTTATTTGAAAATGCTATGTGACCGTTGCGCAAAATGCTCAAATAACCGCTCTGCTAACAACATGGGGTATATTGTCTTAAAGAAAGGGAAGCCAACAATGGCTTAATAACAGCGCTCTGCTAATAACAATTGAGCGGGCTGTTTAAATATAATGTTATCAAATCGCAAATTTAAAACTTTCTTATAGAATGTTCCCCATTCAATAACACAGATATTTGTAACGCAGTCTAAATTTTTACAACTGTTGAAGTTCTTTAAATTTTAATTAGTGGTGTCATTCCCTACGTTCCGTCTAAAAATTACAACAAATTCAAAACAACAAAACTTCTTTAGTTTATATGAATATTAATTGTAAAGGTGGACGTTGCACTAAAATTATACTATTTTTCAGTTAAAAAGAAGAATGTGTTTAATATGACTGAAACATAAGCCCCTTAAATCCAGATCATTTTTTGTTATACCAGAAAATTATGTAAATTTTTGTTAAACTCTTCTAAATAAAATGAATTTCCCATTTTTATGCTTTCTAAATGTATTTATTTACATCTCAAGAAGTTCGTTCAATTAAAGTCCCATAAGTCTGAAAGGTAGAATAAATTCAAAACACAAAACTCCTTCAGTTTATATGAATATTTATTGTAAAGGTGGATTAAATTTCAAAAATATGTTAAGACTATGGCTTGTAGGTTGTTCGATAAGCATAGAGAGCACCGAGACATCAATTCTCAGGCCTAAAGTTGCTTTTTGTGGGTATTATTACATTGTATTGGGTAAAAGAAAGTTCATGCAAATGCTGTGGGTGTGGGCTATATAGTAGTCGGGTCTTATGAATTTTCGCCCTTCTAGTCAAAACATGGAAAACAAAAACGCACACGCGACAATCGCCACATTTCGGAGGCAACAACACCAATGGAGACGAAAGAGTTGGGTAAAAGTATTGTATGTAAATTAAAAACTAAAGAACGCAAATTAAAAGCTAAAATAGAGGTGGCAATCAAACATACCACTGAGAGGCGAGACAGAGGGAGACCGGATCGAATCGGAGCGGACCAGACCAGGGACCACTATCCACTATCCAGCGTTGGGCGCGAGTCAACGTTGGATGATGCACAGCAAATCCGTGAAATGACAACGACAGGGGCGCGAAGGCCTCGAAATACGCGGATCCCTGGGTGAGCAAGTGTTTTGGGGTGCGATCCGAATAAGGCGACAACAACGCGTGTGAGCCTGTCCAGGCGAATCCTAATCCCGAACGTTAGGCGGATGCCGAAGAAGGGGCGAGGCTCGAGGAGATGCGTCCGAGTCCGAAACTGTTCGCTTTAGTCCTGTCCAAGGGCAGCGAAATCCTCGTCCTCCTCCACACATCCGTTAACCTGAACACGACCAAAGCTCACTCTGAAAATCCTTCAACAATGCGAAAATCCTGTCTCCTCCTCCTCCTCCGAGGTGCGAGTTAGCCGTGGGACACTGCATCCCACGTTGTCCTAGCGAAGGGCTCAGAACAATCCTAAATCCAAATCCATTCCTGATTACCATCTCATAAACACACTATGTTCACAAGATCACTAGACATGTCCTGCCTCCTCTAAATTCACTCCAAATTTATCCAATCCACGCCAAAATCAACATCAAAATATCCTCCTCCTCCATTAATCCTCATCCTCCACATCCACATCCTCCTCATCCTCATCACTCTCCAAACATAAACGCGCAAAATGGGGAAGAGAAGAAAATAAAAATTGAAGTATTAATAGTTTGTTTATCAATGTGGTTGACATTGCGTTGTGTTCGGGGATTCTGTTTCTCTTCATTCTCTCATTATAAACATATTTATTCTGTATCGATGTTTCTTGTTTTCGTTAAGGTAGATTCTAATAAATTATGCTTGGTGAATATGCAGCCAAAATATGGGGTTTATAATATAATTTTAGTGTGCAGAGGCAGAGCAAAGGCCCAAAGTAAAACAAAGGCAAATCAGGGAATGCTGACGTGTTCTAGCCAAAGAAAATTCCCTGATTTACAATTGCGATTTTTGAACTGTTTTTGTCAAATTATGTCCGGTGGATTATAATTTAAGAGAACTTCTCTGCTTCTTAAAACGTGCGATACAGTTGGAAAAGCAAGTGGTTTTCGAAATATGTTGGCTTCGATGAGAGTTCGGAACTTGAATGATCAAACTTGATTGGTTCGCAGATGGCTTGAATAGTCAATTTACAAAGTGGCATACATGGGGGGTCTTGAACAAATATTCAATGGGCTTTCTTAATTTAGCTTGCTTTTCCTAATGTTTCCTGCTCGTAGAAATATTATAGATTAATGGATAATGCTTGGTAGTGTTTAATAGTTAGAGCGAGAGCGAGACCTGGAATAAGATTGACGTCGCACTGGGGAGTAGGTTGGTGTGCCACGACGACGCGGTCTCGACGAGAAAGAGCGCGAGCGAGATCTGTTGGGGGGGATTAAAAAAATAAATATTTAACAATAAACTGTAATAACATTTGACTGACCTGTCGCGGTAGTCACGTCCTCCGCCTCCTCCACCACCGCCGCCGCCGCCACCTCCTCCGCTGCCGCCGCCGCCACCACCACTGCGGTCGTTATCACCGCTATCCTCGCGCACGCGAATGTAGGCAACCTCGCCCTAGGAAAAAAGATAACATGTTAATGTTTCATAGCTTTAAGAATTTTTTCAAATAATGTTTACTCAAATATGTTAGTTCTGTCGTATTTAAAACAAAACCTGATAAAGAAAATATTTCCTCGAATACCTAGAATATTTTAAAACGTATTCAAAACAAAACCTAATAAAGATAACAAAAATGCTAATTAAAAATAACATTTCCTTGAATTTCGTAAAATATTTTTAACGATTTTTTAGTCTAAGTTATATAGCTTTTTAAAATGATTTTACGATAATCTTAGCTTAGGGCGAATAACAATTAGGGGAGCCTGGAATAAACCAATTTAATTATTCCAGCTGGTGAATAATGTATGCTAACCAAATAAATGCATAGGTAAATTCCCCACCTTGATAAGCGAATCAATTTGAATGTTACAATATGGTAAATGTAGAATTAGCATACCTCGTGCGAACGGAAGCGGGAGTCATCCAGCTTTTTGATGGCGTACTTCATGTCCTCGTGGCGCAGGAACTCCACCACGCCGGACCCGTCCTTGTAGGTGTCCGCGAAGCAAACGTCGCCTGCCTCGCGCATGTGATCCTTGAGATCCTGCCAAGATCCCGAGGCAGGCAGTCCGGTGACCATGACGCGGTACTGGGAACGCTTGGCCGGCGGTCCACGTCCGCCCATGCGACCGCCTCCGTCGCGGCTGCGGTCGTTGCGGTTGCCGCCGCGGTAGCTGCCCGGACCGCCGCCCCGCGGGAATTCCACGCGCAGGCGGTAGCCGTCGTAGTCGTAGCCATCGCGCGCCTTCACCGCATCGTCGGCATCGCTGTTTTTGGCGCCAATCGCGAGGGGAGCAGGGGGGAGGAGCAGAGATGGGCGCGAATTAGTTGGGTGTCTCTCTTCCAGCCAGCAAGCCAGCTGGCCCGCTGGCCAGTGTGTATTCGCATTACTCACCGCGCATCTTCGAACTCAACAAAAGCAAATGGCGGCCCACGCCGATTCTTGAGGTCGACAAACGTAACTTTGCCGAACTTGTGGAACAGGTCCTGGATGTCCTTGGTGCGGATGTCCGGCGGCAGGTTGCCCACGTAGATGCGGCACTCGTTGCGTGAACCCATTTTCTCCAGTTTAAATCAGACGATTCGGTTGACTTGCTTGCTGAAATTCTCCTTCGATTTTCACAGAACTTTTTCTGTCACGCTCACAAAGACAAATGGCCGACGCAGTATGACCGTTGGCGTGAGTAGGGGAAATCTATTGAAGGGCGTTATCGATAGTTAGGGTACAGTGCTAGAGGTGTAACTAAATAGTTAAATAACTTTTAATATAAGATGATTTTGCATTGTTTTTATCTAAATTTAATGAATTACTTAATAATTTAAACATTTTTCCTGAAATTTGTTTTGTTTACCTGCATCCGATAGTTTCGTTGCACTATCGCCATTCGCCCCGAGCTGGGATGCAACTGCAGTGCCACCTCTAGCAGTAAGCGTCGCCATTCACCCATTCAGACAGTCGAGAAAAAAACAACAAATATTTGCATGTGCAATAAAGCAAACGTAAATAGCATTTTGCCAAGCACTGAGCCACCTGGAAAATGGCTGCGGCCGGAAGCAACGTCCGCTGCATCAACTACTACGACCTGTGCCGCATCTGCACGGACAGCAGCGACCACAAGACGAACATCTACTCGCCCGAGGGACGCGCCAAGAACCTGAGCCACAAGATCCTCGAGTGCCTCTCGCTGCAGGTTTGTAATCTTAAATTAAACTGGTATAACCTTTGGCTAATAGTTCCTCTTCTGTTTTAGATCGATGAAAAGGATCGTTTGCCCAAGGTGGTCTGCGCCCAGTGCGTGCAGCAAGTGGAGCAGATCCACGGCCTTCGCGCCACTTGTCGCAATTCGCAGACGATGCTGAGCAACTGCCTCAACATTCGACCAGCGCCGAGCAGCGATAAGCTTTATATCCGGGATGCCATCGACGAGACCGGCAAGAGTCTCAGCGTGGCGCAGGCGGCGCCAGTTGCCACTGGTGGGTCTCAGCAGTCCGGGAATCTGCTGAACAGCATCATCCAGGCGGTGGGCATGCAGCCCCAGCAGCAGTACACCATCACGGTGGACAACGGGGTGCAGCAGCAACTGCCGGAGGTGCAGGTCAAAAGCGAGAGGCAGAGGTGAGTGGGCAGAACCCTGCTCCTGCGACTCTTTACTAAGTAGTTCTCTTTTCTTTCCTTTAGTGCCCTGGAGGAGTTCATCCGCCTGAAGCCAGACATCAAAATAACGCCGCTGGGCAAGAAGGAGGCCGTTTCACCACCCAAACCCCAGCAGCCACCTCCTCTGCAACCGCCCACGGTGACGACTACCATAAACACTCCTCAGTTGCAGCTACAGCCGCAACTGGGGGATCAACTGCAGCCGCTTTGGCAGCAGATTCAGCAGCTACAACTGCAGCAGCAGCTGCAGCAACTCACCAACCAGCTGCAGGCCACAACTCAGTTCTCCGCCGCCGCCCAGGAGGATGCCGCCAATCCGGGCGATAGCAAGAAGCCCAAGCTAAACTTTGTGCTCTCCTCGCAGGCGACGCCCCAATTCACCACCTCGCTGCCGCAGTTTGCAGGAAGCCAGCCGCAGATTCAGCTGCAGTTGATGCCCGGTGGAGGAGGAGTAACGAATGCTTCGGCAGCGCCTGCCCAGCCACAGTTTAATGCCGCCGCGCTGCTCTCTAGCCTGGCGGCTCCGCAGTCCACTCCCAATCTGCTCTCACCGAACAAGTGCTTTCTGCCCATCACCATACGGGACGAGAACTCGGATCAGCAGATCGTGGCGCATATAGACACCAAAAACCTAGTGCTGCCCACCACCTACCAAGTACAGATGAAGCTGCAGCCCCAGCTGGCCACCGCCGACGGTCAGCCGATCATGCAGCTGACACCCACGTCGATTCCAGCCACTCTGCAGCTGACACCGCAGACGCTGGGAAACCCGGGGAGCAGCTTTCAGGGCACGACTGTGGCGCAAAATCAGTTTCTGGCGCCGCCACAGCCTCCGCCGCCTGTCCAGCAGCAACAACCGCTTACTCAACTGCCGAATACGGCACAAGTGACCTCTCAGCAAATCATAAGATCTCCGCAGACCAGCACCACCAATCCGCAGTTGGTGATAAGGAATGTGACCAATATACCGACTACTCCTAGTACGCCCACGAGCAGCAAGGAGGCGCCTACCTTCAAGACTCCCCCGCCAAAGCAAAGACAGATGGCTTCGCCAAAGAGCAAAACTCCAGTGGCCTCGCCTTCAGGAGGAAGCAGTAGCCCGTCCACCAACGAGTTTAAGCGGCTGATGGCGCAGGCAAAGCAGCAACCGCAGGTGAAGCAACAGCAGCCCACCGCAGCAGCCACTGTAGCAGCCCCTCAGCAGACAACGGCTGCTATGCAGCGACTCTCCTCGAATACAACCATCACCAAGGTGGCCAAACAGCCCGTTTCGGCGCCAGCAGCAGCAGCAGCACCGGCTCCAGCAGCCACTCCCGCCAAGCTGCCCGTGCTGAACAAGCAGAATATTACCATCAGTCGAATCTCAATGCAGGCAGCGACCAAGCCGCAAACAAAGCCTTCACCTCCTCCTGCTCCAGCTCAGCCCATTCCTTTGCCCGTTCCCGCACTGAATCAAGCACAGCCGCCACCGCTGGCGGCACAGCACAAGAAGATCGTGCGCAAGCCACCTGAAAATCAGGAAAAGGCTAAGCCAGCGCGGCCACCGCAACAGATTCTGCCCTCGCCCAATCAGGAAGGGGAGAATGCGACCTCCACTGCGACCTCCGATGCGTTGCTGCGACCCCTAACCGCTGTTCTCGTTTGCCCCACCTGCAAGCGTGAGTTCAAGAAGAAAGAGCATCTCACCCAGCACGTGAAGCTGCACGCGGGCCTGCGACCCTTCAAGTGCTCGGAGGAGGGCTGCGACAAGACCTTCAGCCGCAAGGAGCACCTGTCGCGGCACTTGATCTCCCACTCGGGCCAGAAGATGTACACCTGCGAGGTGTGCAAGAAGCCCTTCTCGCGAAAGGACAACCTCAATAAGCATAAGCGGTGAATCATTGTTATTTGTATCCTTAATTTCTTATTTAATAACAATTAAATATTTCTTCTCAACAGTATTCACACGCAGCCGGCCAACGAAACGCTTTACTGCTGCGATGTTTGCAACAAGAATTTCGCCACCAAGCTGCATTACGAGAAGCATCGGGAAATGCACAAGAAAGTTCGACCGGAGAGTGCAGCTCCTGCCTCCACTGCTCCTCCTGCGGCCACTCCTGCTCCTGCTCCTGTCCGTAGCAATGGTCAGGTCCCCAATAAGGTGAGTTATTAATCCGCCTTAAGGGGTTATATACCTTTTTGAGCGAAAAAATGGAGGGAACTTTGGATTTTTTTTTAGGTGTGTAGCAATTATTTTATGAAACTGAAGTTATTATTTATTGATAGTACATGTTTTTATCGAAACAACAAGCGTTTGATCTTGAAAATATATGAATAATTTACAAAGTTATGGCAATTCTCTCGGAACCCTTTTTTTTATAGCGGTTTGCGGTGCACAAGAACTATTTGCTCGATCTTCTTCATTTGTTTGCATAATTATTCGTATTGATTGTGCCGAGTTCGTGAACGATTATTTTCAAGAATATTTGCTTTTTTCTGCATACAGTAAAAATTTTTCCAAAAAGTTGAATTTTCGAGTATTAAAAATTTTATTAAAAATTTTTTTTCTGCGAAATCAAAATTAACGCATAAAAACTGAATCGTTCACGAACTCGGCACAATCATAACGAATAATTAGGCAAAAAAAATGAAGAAGATCGATCAAATAGTTCTTGTGCACCGCAAACCGCTATAAAAAAAAAGGGTTCCGAGAGAATTGCCATAACTTTGTAAATTTTTCATATATTTTCAAGATCAAACGCTTGTTGTTTCGATAAAAACATGTACTATCAATAAAAATTAACTTCAGTTTCATAAAACAATTGCTACACACCTGAAAAAAAATCCAAAGTTCCCTCAATTTTTTCGCTCAAAAAGGTATATAACCCCTTAAGCTTGTAACTACTAATACTTTTCAATATTTTCCCCAAGGCGGTCTACGAAATCAAACCACAACGCAATCCGCAGCAGCAGCCAACGCAAAGTCAATCACAGCCGGCGCAGATCATGCATGTGGTGACCACCCAGGATCTGGCCGGAAACACAATAACGATCACCCAAGCACCCGACTCCAATATGCCCGCATCTCTGGCCAACTACGTGCAGCTGGGCTTTTCCCAGTTCCAGAATCCCAGCGCACCAGCAGCCAAGCAAAATTAATCTGAAAGCGCGAGAAGTACTCCATTTTACCTCGTGTCCTAGTCCGCGGTCTATTCCACCTCCTGGTCGCCAGTTCCTTATTGCTTTTAGTTTTCGTTTAGTTTACCTCTTACTTTTTCTTTGTGCAATATTATTTATAATTCGTTTGAAGCGTGTTTTCACGTTTCCTTTATTTCCTTAATTTATTTTAGTCTGTGAATCGCAGCAGTTAGATTAGGATAAACCCCCTAAAGAGAGTGTCAGTGTAAAGTTTCCTATCGTAAGGCATTGTAAATATCTGTGTATCTATTATATGTACAAGCTGAAAACAATTGATGGTAAAATACCTTTTTTGGGTGAAAAGAATGATTCCATTGCAAAAATAAATATAATGTGTAATTTATGGCAAATAGTGTTGTGTGTATTTCGTTTGGTATTGCATTGGAGCCTTCATTTTTGTGGCGCTATAAAGCAGATGGCAGGCGGGCAGGCCCCAATGTTTACGTGATTATTTTTGGTAAGGCTTTCCCCGCTGAAAGTATGAATATCATACGGTTAATCCAATGGTCGGCCAGATTTCTGAAAGATTTCCGAAAAAGCTCGTAATTCTAACTCTACCATGCGAACGAATGAATGGAAAACAAATACAAGCACGTTTCCCAACGGTTTCCGAATATAATTTTATTAGCATTAAAGAAAACCAATTCCGATGAATTTTCGTGATTACGCATTTAATTAAGGAAAAAGCAATGCAACTTTTAATACTTGGCGTGGTATATGTATGTGGGTATTACATGGAAAGCTTACAATTACGTTCAAAATCTAAATGGAAGACTTCAGCAAGCAAGGAATACTTAAAATTCTTTGGCCTAACAACTAACAATTAAAATCAACGAAGGAATAATCAGCAACTACGACAAAAGGTAAGATCTGTAGTTATGTCACAGGATACTCAGGAGGTTTAAAAAATTGAATTTCTAGGCAAGAGGGAAAAGTGATCACAAACAATCAAAATCAGCAAATAAAATCGTTCCAATTAAAATAAGAAGTATTTTTGCAATAATAACAGAAAATACTGCAAAAATAAATTTGATCGGTAGGCAAGGTAATAAAAAGTCAATAAATATGTTAATTTTTTTCGAAATAAAATAAATAGGATCGTCGAACTAATCTACGAATCAGTTAAATTTATCAAGTAATGTTTTAATATCATTTTTCAAGAAAAAGCTCTTTAGACCTAGTTAACAAAGATTAACAAACGAAGAAAGAGTGAAAGCAGGTCAATACTACGGCACAATAATGTAGATGGGGTGCGAAATCGAACAAACTACTTTAGTTAGAACTAAAGGTGAGGGGTTTAGGATCGTGCAGTGTTAGGACTAAGGGTGCCCAGCCACCGAACTTCAGACTAAGCGATGGAACTAAACATTAAATAGGAGAAAATGACCAGCTACCTGGGGGATTTTGGATATTGGATCTTGATCAACTTCCTATCAGTTGTAGCTCAGGGCATACTGGTTGACCTTCTGCACATCGCCCCACACCTGTACCGCCTGGATGTCGGTGAGGGAAAAGAGGGTCTCGTACTTGGTTATGAAATTGTGGCCCAGTTCCCTGCCCTGGTAAACAAGCATCATGGAATTGGGGTAGTCGAAGACGAATTCAAGGCAAAACGAGGTCTCTGTGGATGAAAGTTGGAGCGCCTCGTCAATTTCGGACATTAAGCGGACAAAGCTCTGTGTCATATCGGGGTTCTTATCGCTAACGCCTGTACCGTCGAAGATGTTCAGTTCGGTATCCTTTTGCAGGCTGCTCCACTCGCCGTTCCGCTTGTAGTTCTCCACAATCGTCTGCGTGGGGATAATCACCTTGAAGTGATAGGTGATGTTGTCCGTGCAGTCCGTACTGTTGACAAAGTTCACCGAGAATCTGTGGATGATAAGGAAATTTTAGCATCTAGGTGTTAATGATCTTAGTAATTTATTACAGAATTATATGTATGTCTATCAAGATTATAACAAGAAGCTAATAAACAAAGTCAACATTAATAAATTATGTATTTATCAGAGGTGTCAAGAATGAGGAAATAAAGATTAAATCTAAATAATTAAGAAAGAATAAAAGATAAAAGAATAAAATATGATAAGGAAATTTTAACATCCCATCTAGGAGTTAATGATCTGAGTAATTTATTTCTAAATGATATGTATGTCTATCAAGATTATAACAAGAAGCTAATAAACATTGTCAACATTAATAAATTATGTATTTATCAGAGGTGTCAAGAGAGAGGAAATAAAGATTAATCTAAATTACTAAGAAAGATAGGCTTTTACGTGCTTGAAAAGATTTAAGAAGTCTGAAACCCCTCATAGGAACGTTACGACTATAACTTATCACACATTTGTGCTAATGACGTAGCTAGTTGAATGTTTGACCCCCCCAAACAATAGCTTAGTCATCGTACTTGTTTGAATGGCACATGGCTGCTTGACAAGTTTTTTTTGGGGACCGGAGCTCCCAGACGTAGTGAATCGTCGCGAAAACGTCCAACGAATTTAAGGAATGGAATTCTAGTTTTTGAGGTATGCTCATTCGTTAGTCACAATTGTTTTGAAAATTCCCTTTAAATATAATCCCTATTTCAGTTTAAAAACTTCAAGTATCCAAGTAGCAAGAAATTGCTTATGACACATATCAGAAGCTACTAGTACCTTATCGATCATGGTAAAAGATAAGGAATACAAGGTCTTCAGCTATCGTAGTTGTTCATACAGTTGTTCAATCAAGAACCCGGATTCCAGAGTGATGTAACGATGGTTCTGATTTATTGAGATCATTTAACTATTCATAAGCTGATTAACGAACTTCCCACCATCCAATACAATACTTCTTCTCGCCCTCATCATTACCATTCGTTACGCCTTTTGTTGTTTTCTTTTCTTCGTAGCCGGCATCTTCAGCGCGCGTGTCTGATTTAATTTCTGTCTGGTGATGTCATAAATTGTGGAATTGATACAGTAAAACCAGACGACTACGACCACTGATAAATGCCAAAGATTGCTTTATTGTCTGCGATCATCACCTTATCGCTCAAATACCTCACAACTTATAAATGGGCTTTGGAATTTCCTAGGAACACAACTGGGGAACTAGCATAAATTAATTAAATTTCATAGCCCATTTGTATGTTTCATGTGTGCGCCATAAATCGTTCGCTAGGTTGTGAGAATTTCGTCTAATCGGGTCACATACACTTTTTTAAGGCACTATATTTTCTGCACGCAAAGAGCCCATTTCAGCAGGAAATGGCTAATCGATTTTCTTAAAGTTTTAAGAATCCCAGGATATTCCGACTTACTGCTGGGGATTCTGGAGGAGGCTACCGCTAATGGACAGCCTATTGACTCGATCCGAGGAACTGGCATTCGTGGGCAGAACGGAAAGGAACTTTACATCAGGCATCTCGAAGGTTGTGTTTTTAAATTTTCCACTTTGTTTCGGGTTTATTTTTAGGCGGGTATGTAATTGCAAATTATATCCGGTAAAGTGTAAATAACTTTGCTGTGGCCGTGTTGCCAACGGTTACAGCAACTCTAATAACCGGCGGGTAGTTAGCACCTGGCCGACTTGGTCAATACTGTTGGGGGTTACACGAAGAGGCGGCTATTTTAAGGGAACTCGAGGAGGATTTGAGCCCACGACGTCACGGGTAAAGTACGTGCGAGTGCATATTTGTTCAGCTTTTACTTGGTTATAAAACCCGTTGCCCTGTTCCGTTCGTCTTGGCGCGTTATCGAAAACTGAGAAGAAATACTTCTGGGGGAACCGAAGAGCCCAAAAGCAGCCGAGTGATCCCCCACACCTGTTAGCGAGCAAATTCCATTCGGGACCCCAAAAAGAGAGTGCAGAAGAGAGAGCATTTCTCTGCCGGCGCAGTGGGACCAGTTCAGTCCGCTGTGAGTTTGAAAACGTGGCTCGCCCCGCCGATAAACGAGTACTTTTATCGATACCCCGGCCTATCGTTTAGTTCCCACCTTTAAGGCCACCTAACGCTAACAATTCATTGGAACAAAATCAAAATCGCAGGCGGAGAACTCAGTTTAGTTAATTAAAGTCAGCGCCAGCACAGTTAAATAAACGACAAAATGAGGACGTGGTACATGATGGCAGTGGTAGTGGTCCTGGCGACGTTGGCCACCACGACGTGGGCTCTAAAAGAGGAGGATTGTGAAGGTAGGTGATTGGCCACGTAAGTGGTTAAGATGTTCTGGAACAGATTTTCACCGGGCTCCACTCTTCGGCTTTGTAGTTTGCATCAAGACGGTGAGGCGGTTCGCAGACTCCCTGGACGATGCCACCAAGAAGGACTACAAACTGATCGAAACCGAGTTCAAGAAGTTCTGCAAGGCGCAGAAGAACAAGGAGCACAGATTCGTGAGTAGCCGGCAAACAAGTGCCGCCCCTCCTCTCCTCCCCATGGGAAAAAATGATACACGTATGCGTTATTTCCATGCAGTGCTACTACCTTGGAGGCCTCGAGGAATCGGCCACCGGCATCCTCAACGAGCTGAGCAAACCCCTCAGTTGGTCCATGCCCGCCGAGAAAGTCTGCGAGAAGCTGAAGAAGAAGGACGCGCAGATCTGCGATCTTCGCTATGGTAAATATAGTGTCCCGCAGGGCAGTGAAAGAAAATAGGAGATTGTAAATATACTATATATACTAAATACTTACACAGACTGAGAGGAAAGTCATTCTAATCTAATCCTTCATAATCTTTTTTGTATCCTTCTGATATGTAAATATGTAATATTAAATCAGGATTAACTCTATAATTTGTCTCAAGAGATAATAATAATTGCTACTTATTCTTTCAGCAACGTAACTGTCATTTTAGAATTTTAATATTTATTCAACTGTTAAATAAGATGAATTTGTCTCTCTGTATACTCGTATCTCAAATTGTTCTCAGTTAAGCCTAGTACTCACTTCAATTAAAAAGGTAACGAAACGAAAATTTCTATACAAAAATGACAGGTGGAAAATTTTGTGATCAAACCTTTGTATGGAGATTTTCATTTTGTTGGCTTTTCGATTGAAGTGAGTACTAGGCCTAAAGAACAAAAGTTTATATATGAACTCCAATTAAAATTCGTTAAGAACTTTTGCTGAATTCTTATGAGTCATTACCATTCTAACGTAATATTATTCTTCTCTGTCACTGCCCTTTCGCTAAAGACCTTACATGAACATTTCCTCATCGATTTTATGTCCTTTCCAGAGAAACAAATCGATCTGAAGAGCGTGGACCTGAAGAAGCTGAAGGTGCGCGACCTGAAGAAAATCCTCAACGACTGGGACGAGAGCTGTGATGGCTGTCTGGAGAAGGGCGACTTCATCAAGCGCATCGAGGAGCTGAAGCCCAAGTACTCGCACGGCGAGCTGTAGAGCTCAATCTAGTTACTTGTGTAGTTACATGGAACACGCCCACTTAGCTAAAACAACAACCACATGAAACGCCCCCCTACACATCCATATTTTTAGTTAATTTACAATTTTGATAGACTTTGAGAGAATTGAATATAACTATATATACCTAAAGAAAAAACATATATTTTGAAATAAAAAACAACAAACACACAAGACCTCGTGCTCTCAAACGGTTGATAAATAAACAGTTTGTTTTTATTTTCCACGTGTTAATCTTTTTCGGTTCTTGACCTCCTCATTCACAATTACAAGTATTACGTACAAATTACAACAGAAATTCACAAAATATCTGGATTAAAGTTTTATTTAAATGTTAAATACATAATTCCATTGCACTTACTGCCGCGGGCCGCGTAAATTCGATGTGAGCGAAGGGCTGGCTCGCCTCAACTAAATTACAATTATTAGTTAGACATAATTACTAAAAACGAACATAAGAAGCTAGGATGAAGATGTCTGGGCGTGAAAGTCTGCTTCTAGAATGCAAATTTTGATGAGTAGTGATCCTGGAGATCCTTAGCGGCGATAAGGCTGTTTGTTGTAACGGCCGCGCTCGTTCTCCTCTGACAAGTTGGCGTATTCACTGTAGACCACGCACCAGCAGTACGTCATAATTGCTGAAAGTGGGAAATAAATGGTCATCATATAAATAAGTAGATAACGTTTTTGGTTGGGGGGATTTATACATTTTATATTTTGAGTATTTAATTCAATTCAAAATTTATAGTGCACAAAAGTCTGCTATTATTTCTTCTTTTACAAACCGGCCATGTATTTTAATGTAAATTCTTGATCACTATCAAACAACTTTATTACTTTATCTGATCGATCGTCGGGTCGTAAAAATAAAAAATGAAATAGGTTTGGAAGAAGTTCATGTTCTTTCTCTGGTTCTCTTTTTTGTACATCAAAAAAGAGATTTAATCACTCTAAAATACAAATTGTAATTTCAAATTTTACACACTCTATAGCTGATTAATTTTTTTACTGCTCATGGAGTTGTTTAAATTTTAAACAATTTTTTTTTTATACTCAAGTTAATGGTCGCATGGCTTGACTAAAAAGGTAGCTCTGCTTCGCCCCACGTTCTCATTTCACTAAAGACCAACAGAAAGTTGGCAGTTGTACAAATGGCCACTTCGCGCCTCATTTGCTTGCACCACCCACCCGGCAATCCCCTGTGAAAACTCCTAGCCTTGGGCGCCGGCACTTCTGCTTTCAGCGCACGGGCAATCATCGTATGATAAATGCGTCTATAAATTAAAAACGGCTCGCAATAACCGCCATCCGGTGCTGAAAACCGCACATGGAAAAATAGCTTTTTCCCCTCCACTTTTCACGTCCCATGGAAAAGTGCACTTACCGCAGAAAATTAGGCCGAAGATCAGCCAGAGGACTCCCGTCAGCACATAGCCATCAATGAAGAAAACGACGCCCGTGTAGATGACGGAGATCAGCAGACCGATGGCAATCATAATGCCGAGGACCACCCAGGGAACCATAAGATAGTGGTTCCGCTGCAAAGTAAGTTAAATTATTGCCTGTCATTCAAAGATTTTTAGCGACAACTCACCTTTAGAGCACCCACGATCATAAGCAGCGATATCAAGATAGTCATGCACAAATTGATAACGAGGATTATCTTAACGATGTCATTGGGGATAAAGTCAAAGATTATCGTTTTGAAGTGGACTCGTGTCGTGAAGATCACCACGATGGTAATGATCGACAGGATGATTGCCAGGATGCCCGAAATAACGGATCCATTCCGGGTCGACTGACACAGGCAGCACGAGCTTAATAGAGGTTTCGGCATTTTGGCAGCTCTGTATTGGGATTACTAGCTGGAAATAAATTATAAATATAACGATTATTATAACGTTTTTTTCTGAATTTTTAAGATTGTTATGGTCTTGTTATGACTACCCTCCCTTTCCTTTAATCAATTATTTCATTTATCATTTTTATCGGTTTGCTCAAAAAAGGTTATTTAAATTAAAATTCAGAAGAGTCTACAAATTACAGACAACGTTGTCAATTTATTTGAGATACAGTTTACTTGTATAGATAAATAAATGAAATTATATTTATACCATCGTTCACCTAATATACATAGCTTAATTCCTATTTCTCCATTATTTTCGGTTTCTAAATGAAACGAAAATATTTATAGAACTTAAACTTGCCCACACTGACCGCCCTGGCAATTGCAAAAGTAAAGACAAAGAAACCAAACATAAATATCCAAAAGTTTGACCAGTTGTGACGTCAAGCAGACGATTAAAAATGTTTATAAAAGAAATCTGCTTTAAAAATAGAAGGAACGAAGAAAACAATGGTCAGAAAACGTGAAACATCCGAGGGAACGTAAGATTTATATTTAGCAAAGCTTTAAAATAAATCAACGGATCGAATGAGTAATAAATCGTTGCTTATCCGTAGGGATGTGAGCTTGGAAATGGCAGTGGATGGCCAGTTTGGGAAAGTTGATATCATCCGCGCATGCGCATGTGCACACGATCGTATCTTTCTATGGGTTGCACCCATCCAAACGGCGAAATAGCGCCACCGGGCATTGTCATTAAATTAATCAAACGCTTAACGTGCCTCGGTTCCCGGCTGCGGATTGGATTGATGTGGCGCATGTCGGCACTTGCAAATGCCGCTGCAGCTGGTTTGCATCCATTGGGGGATATATCTCATGTGTACATGTGGCTCGCGGCGGTCTTGATGAGATAATCACACGCCAAAACGTCTTGTCTTACATGGAAACGCTTTGAGTCATCATAGAAAGACTAAGCTGCCTGGGAAAAGGCTTTTGGCGCACAGCTAAAGTTCAGTCAGCAGATACAGATAAAAGTACTATTTGTATGGAAAGACCATTTCCGCTGAGTTTCACACCTCACACAAAAAGCAAACGAGAAACAGCGAAAAGATGCAAAGAATCTGGCCAACAGAAGTGCTATACAAATTGCGCAATTATCAGGGCAGGGGCGGCGGAAAAAGGGGAGCGTGCCAAAGATCACATCGCATTCTCCTCTCTGTAAGGCATTTAAAAACTTTTTATAGTTTCGTCACAAGCCGGCGGGGCTGATAAACCGGACATATGGCGCATTAACATGCCGTTTTTCACGCGTTTCGCACGGGTTTTACTCGAGCGATCTCCACGTTTGCGTCTGTTTATAAATGCTCCATCAATTGGCCACAGACCTCCAGAGGCATTTGTCTGGTTTCTATGGCTTTGCCATCTTGAGTTACTTTCTGGCCCGCAATGCGATAGGTTTTGACCTGGTTAGGGGAACAAAGTAGAGATACTCGAGATACGAACAGTTGGACTGCGTAATATCAGGGGAATGGCGGATGGGAATTCGATATAGAGACGATCTACCCACTCACATGCTTAATGGCGTTAATATTCGCATGAACTCATCAAATGCTGACGTTGACTTCCGCTCGCCTCACACCAAGTGGAATTACTATTACTAAATGGGCGTGATCCATAGCTCTCGGAGTCAAGTTCAAGCCAAGGCGTGGGCGACTCTTTCCGAGGAATTCGTGCCTCCACTTGACGTAGGCTTGGAGACTGGGAAAGTGCGCGAGTCTTGACAAGTGCAACTGGACGCAGTTGTCATTGCACTCAGTATCTGTAGGTTGATGGAGTTTCTTTGGGTTTCGGTGTGACGGGGTGACGGAGTGGGTGTACGAGTGTGTCGGATGCTGCCCAATGTGAAAGGTGCAGACTGTCAACACACAAATGCAGAAGAACTGGGCAAGAGCTTTCCAAAAACCTGCAGTTTTGTGGTATGGTAATTTTTGGAATACATAAATATTTAAAAAGTAAAAGGTTCCAGAAAATGTAAGCCGGGGAAAAGGAACACAAAAAAACAGTGATTTAAATAGTCTGGTTATTTGGTTACAAAATAAAATAATAATAGGAAATATTAAACAGAATACATTAAAAATATTCTAATTTATGGAATACATAAATATTTTAAAAGTAAAAGGTTCCAGAAAGAGCAGTGGTTTTATAGCTTCAATAATATTTTATAACATAATATTAATAAGAAAAGATTTAAACTGGTATGTTATTTTGACAAAGGTATACAATTATGAAAGCCCCATTAAATATTATTAAAATATTCAATTCAACTTAAGTGCTTTCCAAGTGGATACATATAATAAAATGTTGAAAACATTTATCGTAAGCCATTAATCAATCGCTGACCCATTTGCCTAGGCCATCGAAGTGAAAATATTGTCCATATAAATCATGTCAATTGCTATTGGCTGTATGCTCATGGAAAATTGGTTCAATCCACAGGCAAATTGTAATTTTCGTGTGCAATGAGCGCGTGTCCAGCTTTTGTATCTGACAACTACGATATTGTTTTCGGCATTTATCCGCTATAGTGGGCCGCAAAGCCAATTATTCTCGGCTTTGGCATTTGTTGACTTTATCGCTACTCGAACTTTAGTGACCCTGCTACCCGCTGAACCCCGCAAAAAGCACTCAACAATTAGTTTGCGCTTCAACGCGTAATTAAGTTTGACATTTTTCTGCGCTACTTTTTGCGCCACACACAAAAGATATCGAGGAGACAAAGGCATTCGGTATTCTGTATTCCGTATCGTATCTGCGATGTGGCTGGAAATTGCTCAATCCACAATCTTCGGCAGAAAGTGGGAGCTCGCCTGCATGGCCGAGTCAGGTTTTTTTCTCATTTTTGGGCCCATTTGAAACCGGTAGAAATCGTTCTACCAAATTTGACACGTCCAAAGCACGGGGCATTTTTGGTTTTTATTTATTTATCCAACTTCTGCTATTCCTGCTCCCACTTGACTTTTGTCTTTTTGATTTCTTGATTTTTTGTCAAATTGCCTTTTTTCTCGGCTGCTTTCAATCACTCGACTTGCCATATAAATCAATTAAAACCGTTGCAGCTGCAAACTCAATTGCAGCCTTTGAAGTTTTCATTTGCCGATCGAGATTGTGTAATTACAAGAGGCAGCGGCGTATCTCTTCATACGAAAGATACAAATGTGCGCATCCACGAGATACTTTTCGATTCGGCTTCATATTCTGTCAACGCTTAACGTACGATTTTCAATGTCAGAGAGGCGACATTGAATGCGTTCAAAAACTTAATTCTCGAGGATCTTTCCCAGCCAAGCGAAAGTTAACTCATAAAGAGATAGCCCATCAAAGTGATTCATTTATAAGGCGTTCGAATAGAAAACGAAAAACACGAAACACGAAACACTTATAAATAGCTCGCAAGGTCGCGAGCATTCGGCGGGGAGATCTAGAAATCTAGAAAATCAACAAAGCAGTAGAACTTTTGGAACCGCTCTCACAATCTGGGGTCAACAAATGGGAGATACTCCCCTCTAAACATTTTCAGCACCTGTTGGCCAAGATTTCGGCGCCACTGTGCCATTTCATTTGGCGTAGGTGCGCGAACGCCTTCGTTTATTCTGCCAGAATGTGTGTTTTTTATTTGTCTCATATATTCTCTGGCATTATCTTTTGCCTTGTAAATTGAGTAACCTTCACATTGTTCATTTTTCACTGCTTCCAAATGGATGCGCGTCACTGAACTTTGCCAAATGGGGGGATTTCGAACCGGGATCCGTTAATTTCCCTTATTAATTACTTCCCCGGAGGAGTGGCCACTTGAAATTCATCACTCGACTCTTTCATTTGGCTTCGAATGTGATTTTTATGGTTCGCAACTGAGGAGAATAGCCAAAATGTGGCTCAACTGAAACGTAGGCCAGGCATAAATTACGTATACGCCCCCGCACTCCGGGACTCTCGATACGATGGCCTACTTATCCCTAACCCCGCCACCTGTTCAACTTGAGATCGACGTCCTAAAAGGCAGAAGAAGGCTTGCAGGTTGTCGGCGATCGCAGACTTTCAATGTCAGCTGGAAATTCTGACATCACCCAGTGCATCGCCTATATAGTCGCATATATAGCCTGCAAACAGACCGACTTTGCTTTCATTCAGCCATATTTTCTCAGCCAATTGGGTCAGCGATCACGAAGGCAAACAAACAGTTGCATTATTGTTTCCCCATTAATTCATATGCTGCGGATTTTCAACCCTACCGCAGCCTTTGTACGGGAGCTCAGAAAAGTATCAGTCTGGGGTTCGGCGATCATTTGAATATTGAAATGGCTGGACAGCCAGCAGCGACAGCTAAATGAAATTGAATATATATTTTGTATAAATAAGCACACACAACGGCACAACCGCAAGGCAGACGAGCAGCAAGCGCGCCTCAAGTCGGGGAACTGGCTACACATTATAGATAGGTCTCTGGCTACTGGGGCCTCCCTTCCTCCTCCTCCTCCCCCCTGAAAAAACACTTCTGTGCTCGATCACACATATATGCATATCCACCTCCGGGGGCCAGCTGCTCGCCTGTTATTTCAATTTCGAGGCGATCGTTTATCACTCGATTTGCATGCGACGGCGATCGATTGATCTCCCCATCGTTTACTTTTCCGCCCAATCGCCTGCCAACCGCCTGCATTTCTCCGCTGATAATGTCAGCCTCTTGGCACCTGGCCACCAGCCAAATTCACTTACACTTTCTATTATTTTCTTTTTTTTTTGATTTGCTGACAAACTGCAATACGCGCAGACAGGGAAATCAATTTGATTCGCACTCGCAATTAATTAGTATTTGATATGGGATATTGGCTCGCAGTGCGTTGCGTTTTGAGGCGATTCCGTGACGACTTGCGCGCGATTTCGATGTGAGTGCGGCGGGTTTCACGAAGCGACTGAAAACGCGGGCTGCTGCCGCTGCCTAGAGAGCCAGCCCGCGATCGCGATTTTGCTCTCATCTGCGAGCGTTTGCGTTTGTTGACTTTTCCGCTCGTTCTTGGCCACGAAAAGTTCTCAAACTTAGGCGCTGTTTTTAGCTAAGACAGCTTTTGTGCGGCTGTCGAGGAGCTTTCTCCGACATCAGAAACCAGTTAGGAGATTGTTTTGTTGGACTGCTGTTCCGTTCCGGCATGAAGTTATCAAACACTTGGTCAAACAATGGTCTGGCGATCGGAGCTACAGTGCTTTGCACTAGCCAAGCCAAACAAATCATTAGACATTCTCATTACTTGGGCTTGACATCCGCGTTTCCCGGCTTGGAGCAGCGCGAGATGCTAGCTATAGATTCCTCGGCACGCCATCTGCCTTTTTTGGCCATGGATCGGCTACTGCACTGAGGCAAATTCAAAAAAGAGTATCTTTTAATGCCTAACTTATTATTATATCTATCAAAAAAGACTTATCCTCTATATTTTGAAATCTGAATCTTCTTATAAATATGACAGTTTCAAAATGTACCCATACTTTTTACTGGCAATCCCTACAGACTACCATGACATCGTAAAACTCTAGATTTCTTGAACACTTACAATTTATTTAAATGAACAAACAAAATACCATAAAATCATTGAAATTTAATCGTAAATAACATCCCAACAACCAAGTTAGCTCTCACAAAAGTACAAGATGTTTTCCTCAGTGCATTTCCTAGTCGTTAGTGGCCAAGTTTTTGGCCATTTCTACTGTAAAAGGCAAAGGCTAGCCTGCGACTTATTGGCATCTAGGCTAGAGTTTTGTGGGCCAATCCATGGCGTGCAGCTACTTTCATATTTATCAAATCATGCCATTTCTATCTGTCTCCTATTGTATGCAAATTTCTTCGGCAATCGGGTTGCATTGAAGATCTCTCCGAAAGGCTTAGTTATCCAGCGACCTATTAATAATCCAGGAGTTTCGATTTGGGGTTTATATTTAACATCATTGAACTATACTTATGGGGATTGCTCTGGGGTTATGCGAACATCAATCTTTGTATCTCTCTCTTCGGCGCCCATCTTTCTCAACATGACTATAAAAGGGTTTCGTTAGTTTCGCTTACAAATCGGCACCAATCGACTCTCATTGTGTGCCATAATCTATATATATATTTTCTTTAAGCACAATAATACATAATCGAGTCTTTCTGGCGGCTGCATATTATGTTTTATTTGAAAATTTATATATATACATTACAGTAAATAATTTAGTCAGGTAGGTGGAGAAATAAGAAGTTACAGTACTTAATTAACGTACAGCAGGCAGCATCGCAAAATGAAAGAGAACGAAAACCGGAACCGAATAGAAGTCCTTGGGTGGCACCTATGTGTTGCTATTGCTATGTCGCGTGCTGTACAGCCCGGTAATATCTATGCGTAGTTGCAGAGCGTTGAAATGTTGACAATTATCGTTTTTTGTGTTTGGTTGCTTCTTGTACAATTTAACCACGTGGTCGACTATCCTAAATCCTGGGGCGAATCGGGGTCTTGGCTGACGAACGACTGACTATGTGCCTAACCTGTCTGGCTTTGCATCCGGAGTCCGGATCTCTGCAAGGCCAGTGGGTCAACTATTTGCTTGTGCCGGCGGCGGCAGCGGCGTCCTCCTTCTTTTTCTGCTTCTCGCGCATTACCTCAGCGTCCCTGGGGATTGAATATATGATATATGATATAGGGGGAGTCCTATAATATACGGAGGTATAGCTATTACTCACCTGGCCTTCCTCTGCTCCACGGTGAGGTTATCGGTTCGCTTTCCCTTGGTGGCATCCGCCTGCTTCTTCTGGTTCTTCTGGCGGGCCAGGTCGCGTTGGTTGCCGCCTAAAAAGTAAATCACATTTAAATTAGTTAATACGTGTCACCTGGCTAGTCAGTCGCGCGTGCCAAGTGTGATCTACATAATCTATTGATCACAGAGAGGTTAGAGGCGCTCACATGTCCTAAAGTCGACCCCATCGATTTTGCCTGCTCTAAAGTCGCATTACCGTGGGATCTCCTGTGGGGGAGATTAGCCAGCCCCTATATCGTGGTCCCCTAATTCCAGAGGGGGTTCCCAGAGGAAGGTGAACCCATTTCCTGGCCATTCACTCGAATAGATACCATTCCACATATTTAATGACTAGCGGACCACCAACAAAATGGCTCCATGAAATGCCCCTACTTACGTGTCATTTTGAGGGATGTTTCTGGGTTCTGGGCTGAGAATAACTAAGAATTGATGATAATTTTGTTATGAGACTTGTGAATTTTATTTGCCCAGCGCTGTGAGGTTTTAGTTTGAAATAATCTTGCTTCTGTTAAAAAAGTTGATTTGTTTTTATTGAGCGATTTGTCAAAAGTGGGGAAATGTACTAGCGCGTCGGTCGTAGGAACACACTAACGCCTCGAAAAGTCATCCATGCAGCCCTGGCAAGTTCCCGTAACTCGAATCACCCTGTGGGCCCATATCAAATATTTCCCGGGCTCTCGGTTATTTGAAATTTTAAAATTCTTTTATATTGAAAGCAGTTTAATCCTGTTACCAGAGCGTAGGAAAGGTTTTTATATTTATATTAACTATATACCACAGTTACCTTGTACCATGTAAATAAAACACAGTTTTTACGGAATTTAGATTTTATTACAAAACACTTTTAATTTAGAGTATTACGATAGATTGGTGCCGTCGAATTGGAAAGGTTTAAATACTATATCCAAGGAACATTTAAGAAATGCAATCTTTATAACTGGAACTGGAACATGCGCGTTTTTTATAAAATGCTATCCACTGATGTGTTTCGGCTAGCACCGGCAGCATATCGATATTCAAGATCTTCGAAAATAGCCCTGCTGGTCATGACATCATACTCCTTTCTTAAAACCCATATTTCTAAGGTGCTCAAGAGTACAAACTTTGTGTGGGGGCTCTAAAAATGGAGAAGTATTGCTTAAAACAACAGCTATATAATTATTCCTTTTACCTCTTTCGGAAGGTCTCGGGACCAAAGTCCTATAGCAGCCAGATATGACTTAATGAGCATTCGCCACATCCAGTACAGATGGGAGTCGCCGAGTTTTGGTATTGGGGGTACTATGACTTGGCTTATTATATCCGATTTTACATCGGCAGAATCCCCCATAATCGAATACTTTACTGATCTAAACAAATTTTGAAAAAACCGAAAAATGGATCCAAAAATCATAAAGAACCTTAAATTTTAAAACTCAAAATTTTGATGTACATATCATGGGCATGATGAGCTTACTTCAATTTTATTTTTTCTGTGAATATTTTTAAGACTCTTGTTTCTAGACCAACGAAGAATATCAAAATCAGTGAAATTATTATTTTTTCATCCACATGATCTATTTTTATATTTTTATGTAAAATAAATAAATGCTATCCCCACAATGAAAAAGAAACCATATTTCACAAAAATATTTGCGTAGTTTAATAATTAATCTGCGGATATACAATAACATTAACACTTAAATGCGTGGTAGATGCTTCTCTCCGGGGCTTCTCAGCGGAGGCTAATACTAGGGCTAGGAGCAGGTGCGGATGCAGATGCGGATGCGGATAATGGATGCGGCTAATGGGCGATGGGACGGACGTAGACGGGAATGGAAGTGGAAGAGGAAGGGGGACTATCTGCGCAGGCAGGGATCGCAGGTGCCCGGCAGGACGAACGAGGGATGGCACTCCGGGCACTTGGGGTTCTCGCCGAACCACTTGGACCGCTGCTCGGGGATCTTCAGCTGGAATGAGTTGTACAGATCCCCGCTGATGGAACTAGCTCCAGCCACTGCTGCTCCTCCGGGACCGTAGCCCGTTCGCCCGATGGTCTCCAGGGGAAAGGCGTACTCCGGGATGAGCAGTTGCTTCCGCAGATGGCTAATATCCGTGGAGCTGGCCAGCACATCGGAGCGTCGCTGAGCCTGTTCCGGCTTCAGTTTCTCCTCCTCCTTGGCCTTGATGGATCTCGAGATGGCCAGCCGATGACTGGTGCTCGACTGCTGAACTACTGGCGGGGAAATCTGCACTGGCTTCTTCTGGTGGCTTCCGATGTCGTTTAGCCGTGGGTTGAATACATCCTGCTTGCTGGTGACCCCGTAGTCACCGGTGGTCTCGGGATACTCGCGTCCATCCACGCCAATTGGTGGGTCCAATTTGGGCGGCTCCAGGCCATTCGAGGGCACCTTCCATTCGTAGTAGATCGGTGGTCCCTGGGTGGTGGCTATGTCGTGGGGCACAAAGTCCACGAACGGAGGCAGCAAGTCGTTAAACGGCATTTGTGCTGGCGGCACCACTGGTGGTGCTGCAGTGCTGGTGGGCGTGGCCAGGCGGAAACTCTGGGCAGGAGCGGGAGTCCGATTATCGCTACGTGGCGGCAATCCCACCGTGCTGACCGTAGTGGGCAGAGTGGCAAAGGAGAAGGGCACTCCGGCCACGGTGGTGGGTCGACTCAGTGGCCTGGGGGTTGTGGTGGTGCTGCTGGGCACCGGACTAAAAGGAGCCGCCGTGGATGTGCGAAGTGTGGAGGAGATCCCAGCACTCGGTGGCTGTGGTTCCTCCAGATTGTAGATGGGATACACGAAGGGCGGCTCATAGATCTTCGAGGGCGGCTTGATGAACTTGGTCAGCTTGGTGGACTGGAAGGATTGGCCCGATTGCTTGGTGCCCCGGAGTTGCGACTCCGCCGAGTTGAAGTCCGCGGAGGTGTTGTACCGAGTGCTGTGGCTGGTGCCCAGGTCATCTGTCTCCTGCTCCAAGGCCTGGAAAATAGGGCGACGATTGTGCAAGGCTTCTGTGCGCCTGGTGGTCAGTGGAGGCCTTCGAGTGGTGGTCGTTGTGGTGGTGGTGGTTGTAATGCCCCTGGTGGTGCTGGTAGTTGGTCGGGTGGTTGTAGTTGCTCTTGTGGTTGTACTGGTAGTGGTTATCCTGGGCTTGACCGTCGAGCTGGGCAGTTCGATTTGTGGTTCGTAGGCTGGTGGAAGGATCGTCCTGCTGGGCGGTGGAATGCGCCAGCGGGTCTGCGATATCTGGTTATCCAATTTACCCGAAACGCCGGCTTTCAAGGATTCGTCGCGTATCTGATTCTGATTGGAAGTCAGCTGCTGCACAGAGATAGGTTTTTAGTTTTATAATCTAGTTATCAAAATAAATACTCACCTTATATTGGCTTCTGAAGGACTCCCCGGAATAGTCAGGTGCATAGGGACGATCCAGGAGATCGGGTCTGGGTGTCCTCAAGCTGTTCTCTTCGTCATTAACAAAGGGTTTGTCCCGCTGACCTAAAAAATATTTATTTAATTATTTATTTATTTATTTTCAGCTTTAAATACAAACCAATTAGCAGATTGGCGGCGTAGTTGCTCTCCGCCTTGGAGCAGTTGACCATGTACCAATGGTCGCAGATGAGCATCCGCTGCTGGAAGAGGGTGGTATTTGGGCAGGTGTAGCTGAACTGGCGACCCAGGCCATCGCACATGTGGTACACCTGGCAGCCCGTCTCCACATCCGCATAATATCCGGCAGGACGTCCGGCGCAGGAGAACGATGTCTTTTGCATCAGCAGGGAGCCAGGATTCGTTGCTTGGATGGAATTTTGAGCCTGGCCGAAAGTAGGTATTAATAATAAAATCTGTATCTAATATATTTTATTAATATAATGAGAACATCCTAGCTACAAGCTTATAAGAAAATATATTGGTAAATACTTTAAACTACTACGTGTTGTTCTAATGTTCTATTTCTAGCAGAATGTCACTACCAGTTAATACTAATTAATTACTTATACTATTATTCTCAAAAAACTGGTATATTGAAAAATGTAGTGGGTAATTAAATTCTAAATATTTAGCATTCCATTCAGTACCCTCTTTTTATAGAGCCTCACTACTGCCCACAATTATCTGTGCCTTTAATTCGCGCTGACCATTTGCGACTTGCACAAGGTACTAAACGAAGGGAGAGACTTCGGCTGTCAGAGATTCATGATTTCATAGATTGGAATGCTGGGAAAATATTTTTCACGGACTTGGCGGAAGCTTCTGCACATATGTTCGCACGTACTCATACTCCGAGTAGATCCAGTGGCAGATTTCGATAAGTCATTGGGCTATAATTTGCCACTGTCGACGTGAAATTTTTTCATTATAATTAAACACTGCATGGAGAAACAACAACAATTTCCACAAAAAAAACCGACTAAAAATAAAGTTGACATTTCTCACAGCAGCACAGGTCGACTGATGCAAGAAGCCGTGGCACCATGTGCCAAGTTATGACATCGCGTCAATTCATCACTTCTGGGCCCAAGTCAGGGCAGCATCCAAAATCCAAAACCAACCTGCGGCCCAAGACCCCAACTCCCAAACTCCCAATCTCCAAATTCCCAGCCTGAAGCTTAAAACGTACAGCTTACGACTTGCTGCACTCACAATCACACACGCTGGGCACGAGTACTCGCTGATATCGATCTCCGTGTCATTTGTTTCGCTACTCAAAAAGTCGGGGGTCTGAGAAAGGCCCTGCAAAGGTGGCCAATTACAGATTGTGCTCGCAAGATTCCTTATCTCCCTGGTATATCTCCCATACGCGACTTCCTTTCACTCTAGCGAAGAAACAATCACTTTTTGCCACTACTGATTAAGTGCGAAGTGTGGTAAGAACAACTTTAATTTAATAAATATATTGGCATTTCGAAAATCGGTAATACTATATTTTTAATATTTTTAAATTTTTATTTAATTGTCATTTATTAGAACTAATTAGATATTTGGTTAATTTGCTTAAGTTACACAAAATATATACTCTTTAATACTTTTTACCGATTTTTTATAGTTTCCAAGATGGTTTTCTTAACTTTTCTTTATCTTTACTTTAATCCCTGAAAACAATTTGTTATTATAGCTCACTGCTTAAAAGGTAAGACAATAAACTCCGATTAGAAGCTTGTAAAACTAAATGGAGATTCACCTTATTTGGATGGCTAAACTACACAAATTAGAGGAGTTGCCGGGGGGTTGGCAAAACTGGATTGCAATTATTCCTAATACGACAGGGAATGGAAATCACTTAAGGAAATGCGATTGTGCAATTTCCCAAGACACAAGCCAAGGTTTCCCAGACGAGTTTTCAATTTCACGACGCCGTTTGTGTTTCTTATTTCGGGTAATTTGCCATAATTTGAAACGCTCTTCAATTTCATTTCAGGCATATTTACGGGCCACACTAAACACACATTCTGCGCCCAGTTGCCCACTCGTCCGTTACATAACAGCCCCAGTCTCAGTCTCAGTTTAGGCCCAGCTTCAACTTCATCCTCGACTCGACTTGGGTTTCGTTTTAATTTCTTGTATGCAAATAGCGAAAACAATCAACACACTATAGTGTGTGTTCCATTTCTGCAAAAGTGTCAGACGCGTCGGAAAAAAGGTCACTTGGTCAGCCGAGTCTTTTGTTTTTAATATTGTATCTCCGTACCTCAAGACCTTTGCTTGGCTGAATCTGAATCTGAAGCTGAATCATGTGTGCCTTTGCCTTTGCCGGCCTGTGTGTGAACTGTGGATGTGGATGCACTCGTACACACATAGAATAAATTAAAAATGAAACAAAGCGTAAAGAGCGCAAAATTACAACATTTTCCGCCGTTGCTCAAAAAGTGTCTTGGGAAGCGATTCGGTGGCAAAGACGACCAAAATGTCGGTGGAACAGGGGCCTCAACTTAAACTCTCATAAACCTTCGATTAGGAATAAAAATATAATTCTCCTCTTTTAAAGTACCAGAAATGGCAAATTAAACATATTTATGGGCATTATTTTATATTATTTAGAATTATGTGTTCTCTGTAAGTGATACCGCATTGATTAACTACGAAAGATAAATTTGTTAGTTCTCGCGATGTGCAATAAATTTGGCATAAAGTTGCAAATTAATTGTACATGGTTTTGTTCATAGTTAACAACCTATTAAAAATACATCCATCGCAAAAAGTAACTCATTTTGAAAAAAACCATTCAAGTAGTGAACCCAAAATACGTGTACTCTGGGTTTAATTCTAAATCGAGTTTTTATCTGTTGAGACATCTGTTCCTAGGCATCTAGGTAATATTTGCTTTTTAATTTATGATTATTCGTTCTTGTTTAAAGAAAGGAATGCGAAATGAACTTGAGCTCGGTTAAAATGTCTTATTTAAATTAAAACGGAGAACTTGTTTGCTTGTCTTTAAAATTAGATTTTTATTAAGTTAGGTACTACTTATCACTAGATATCAGATTAAATTTAAAGATTAAACGAAACTGTTATAAAATGTTTAAGTATCAGCAAACCCTTTCGTATCGCAACACTGACCACGTGACCAGGGGTCACGCTTTGAATAATGATAATCGCACTCTTAACGGATTACCATTTCTGGGGATGGTTTCATTGTTGTGGGGATGGTGAAAATGATTGTACTTATATTCAATTTATCTAAATACGTTCCTGAATGCTCACTTAGTTGGTAGCTTCATTAGCATTGATCAAGTGTTTACGATATTTTAGCTATTAATTATTGCAATCTTCGGAAGGAAGATAATAAGCACCTTCGGCGCACAACAAATACGGCGTTTAAATATTTATACAATTCCGTAATTTGCATTTCAATGCTCTCTCACGTGCACAATCATCGCTGGAATCTCCGCTGGCATATCTTTCGAATTCCCCGATCGAGCCCCTTAGGCAAAGGTATATATGGTAAAGTTCGGACTTACCTCACTGGCCAAAAATAAAGCTGAGCAGAACAAAGCCAGGGTCAAAAGTCGCAAATGCGTTGGGATAATTTGCGTTTGTGCCAACATTTCGCCGATTGTTCTCTCTCTGGATCCGGGGAATCGGGTGGGGGGTTTTATAACCGTTGGGGAGCTTAAAACTGAAAGTTATTAATACGTTATTGAATGGACTCGGCGTACAATTGATGGGAAAGTGCAGTCGGGGGCCTATAAGTTGGCGCTAATTGCCTTACACAATAGCTCGCATCTTAACACACATTCCTTTCCATCATCCACCCGTAGCATAATAATATGTCTTTTGTTGCCAATCTTTGCGTAACCGAGAGCCTGTTTACTTTAGTAATAACTTTCCCAAAAATATCTCCACTATAGGTGATCATGGGAGATAACAATGTATGTGCTGGGCTTTTTATTTGTCACTACCCAGCGGAGAGACTAATTTTCTTCGCTTCCAAGCGGTTGGTTTGATTCAAACGCTTTCGTAATGAATTGTAATTTAAAAAACATTAACTTCTGAAGTTGTTGCCGCTTTATTGACTGACAGAATTTGCAACGCTGTCGCTGGCTCTTCTTCTTTCCCTGTCCCTGCTTCTGCCTCCACCTCGACCTCCACCTACAATACAATTCTGCGACCTTGCCACTTGCCACTCCGCTCCTCGTTCCTCGCGCAAATAACCAGTCACACCGATAAAACTGTCAATCGCAGTCGCAAACAAAGCTCCAAAATGGAAAATGCACTTTATGACCGTTTATAGTAACCAAATTGAGCGAAATTGAGTTGTCCGGCAAAGGCTCTTAACTTTATGAATATCCGCTTGGGTCAAGAACGTTTTTGGTGGGTTTATGTATGTTGGAGTTCCAAAATGCCACGGATCTGCCTAGAAACAATTTGTCAATCTTTTTTAGTTCTTACTTTAAGACTCGCCTTGCAGTATTGGCAGAATCAATGTCTCTCAAGTTTTTGATTTAATGTTGTTGATATTTACTAACAACTTCAACACTCTTTTGACACAAACAAAAAAAATCAGTTAACGTCAGAGAGAAAATATCAAAAATTGGCAGATTGCTGTCAGCTCTTTTGCATGAATTTGAATTTTACAAATTTAAACAACTCTATTTAACATTTTTGGTAAATAAATATTTCACTAAATTGGTTACATTATTGGCAGATGAATGTTGCTTTAATGTTTAAACTTTTTTTTATTTAACGAATTTTAATAAACTTTTAAGTAAGGAATTTTAAAAGGTTAGCAGAGACTGCATTTAAATTCTATTTATTTCCCATTCATAAGAGATCAAAAGCCAAACTATAAGCAATAATAATTATTAGTGTTAAAAAAGACCATTACATCATTTTAATTTTAACGCAAACTAATTTTCCAATTTTTATGATTTTTGAGTGGGCAATAAATTTCACGCCTAAGTTGCATAAATAAAGAGCTAAGAATAAACACAGTTTTTCCATAAATATATTCGCTCCGCCATTTAAACTACCATTTTAGTGCACTGTTGCAATTAAGTTTTTTATGTAATTGAAATATGTTTCTTTAAGGCATTAAAGCCTAGTCGTCGTGTAATTTATTAGGTTAGCAGGTCTGCTGAACATCATTTCGAAGAGCTTCAAAGTTCAATTGCCCAATAAAATCTCATACTTTTCAGCTAACGAGATCATCTGTCTCAATGCTAACCGCAACATTTGTGGCAAGTTGTGGCCAGCAGCCATTTGAGCCAAGTGCGTGTGGCGGCAGCAAAAATCAGGCAGCAGAGGTAGGAGGGAAAAAGCAAAAGCTACGCGAACAATACTGAACTGGCATCTAGTTTGGCGGTTTTTCCTTGTCTTGACCTTTTTGACAACGGAAAATATTTACCGCTTTATCCTCCTCGGGTTGAACTCGTGATGCTGGTTGCAGTTTTGTTTCTTGTTGTTTTTTTTTCTAAGCTGCCTTGTGGCCAGCTAGGCGAAGCCTATTTGACATTTTTGCCATTTTGCCAGCCATTTCCACTGAAAGAGCATTGCGAATCTAACTCGAAGATGCTCAACGGCAAATAATAGCAGGGAGATACAGCAACAATTATGCCAATTAGTTGGCATTACAGGTTGATTACGGCAGGGCCAGGCCGAAGTTATTTTGCCCGGCCATAGCTGGCATTCTTCTAATTGTTTTCGATGGGACCCCCCGACGACTGGATGTGCAGAGGAAGTTATTAAGATGCAAGCAAGATGTACGATGGAAACCGATTTGCGATTCGCGATTTGCGGGCTCACCTTCGCCCGCGTCGTTTCACGGAACGGAATGGAGTATCTTAAACTGTACAAACTAATTGTCGCCGTAGGTGGTGTGCTAAAATATATTCCATATGGTCGCGGCGGACTCTTCACACATCCGATGCGAGGGGCAGTGCGAGGTGATTCAGTGCGATGTGATCTTTGCAAAGATCAAATGTCAGAGACAGCGGCAGTCGCGTTGCATTTGCAATTGCATTGGCGCTAAACAAAGTCAAGAGCACTCAGAGTCGCTCATCAAAAGCCGCACCAAATTGGTTCGCATAAATTATATGCCATATGCCATCAACACTATAGCACGTAGATATTTTTCACAGTCCTTTTGGACGTAGCACGCCTACAAGTCGAGTAGAAAAACTCTGCGACTTGTATCTTTTTAACTGAGGGATTCGGTTTTTGAAACGCCCGGAACGACACCAACCGCTTCGTTCGAAGTCGCGCTTTCAACTGAAGACTGCGAGTGCACCCAGCTCTGTTTAAGATTCACATTAGGCCGCCCGCTACAGGCCAGGTCTCATCTGGAGAAGAGCCAAGCGGAGCTTCGTCATCGGCGCACAGTGGGCGCAATGGGACGCCTACGTGCGAGGGAGAAAATTCTGTTAATTTGTAAAGAAATCTATGCAAATCTAAAGTATACTTTCGAATGAGGTAAGTTCCCAGTCAAGAAGCTTGGGTTTTAGGTGGTTGGATTTACATAAAGCCATTAAAATAATACGCTTTACAAGGCAACTGCCTCTGTACCACTGTGCCAAATCTTCTCGGCCAGTTAACGAAGTTCAGTCGGGTTTTTTGAGACCCAGGCCAGCAAAGCGTTAACATTGCAGCTTCATTTTCATTTTCAGCTAGATTCTCAGTTTCAATTTACCGTTAACAGCTTCGTCTTCATTTTCATTTTCATTTTCATTGCACGTTATTAGCATTTGGAATGCCACCGTTTAGGGAAACCCTTCACCCACTGGGTGTTTATTTGTCTAATTTATTGGAACGTTTAGGTTACTTTGGTTGGTGGTGCTGTAGATGTTTGGCAGATGGGTATGCCGTTGGAGATGCAGAAGACAGAAGAAGTGGGCTAAATAGAGCAATCGAGCGGGGGCCAAAAGATCTGAGCCAGATTGGGCGGCGGATTGCGAAAGCATTTTCCCCATCTCAGTCTCAGATTCGTTGGCTCTTTTGGCGGCATCATTGTCAGATTTCTGGCGGCTGGGGTTTTGTAAGCGAAGATTTCCATTTTCCATTTTCATCTTCGTTTTCGATTCAAGTCGTTTATTTGCTCCTCAAAGCCCTTTTGTCGTGGCAAAGCCGAAAAAAAGACGAGAACCGCCAACAGTTTGGCGCACTCAGGTTTTCATCGTAGTCGTGTGTTGCCTCACTGACTTGCCGGGTTTCATATTCGCTGGGCGTTGGGTTTCCCCCATCCCCCTTCCAGCTTTTTTCCCCCCTCCCCACTGATTTTGCCATTTCCATTTTCGTGACGGACCTGGGAGGAAGTTAAAGCTAAAAGTCGAAAGTGTCGAGAGTCAATCGATGGTTTATTATTGTCGTATTTCGTTGGCTCATGTCAAAAAATAAAGAAAATAACACATATATAACGCTGCGCGTACATTGTAACCTGGAATTTAGTTATGTATCTCCTGGCTATCTGATGGTCAGCCTAGGTGGACTGGGCAACGGGCCCATCTTGGACCCCCGGCTTCTGCTCCTGGTTCTTGATGACCAGCGAATGCTGCTGGAAATCGGTCAGGATGCGGCTCTCGGGGATGTCCGTCTCCACGCGGCTGCCCACAATGTCTATCTCGCTTTCCTTTTTATCAAAAAATATGTCAATAATAATGCGCACGCCTAAGGGATATTACTATCAATAAAAATTCTTAACAATATTTAGAATTAAAATAGATCACCAAAAAAGTAAAAGAAAAATTTAAAATATTTGTTTTTCTTGAGTTTGAAACAAAGTAATACATTTTGTTGATTGAATATTTGGTAAACTAAAGTTAACTAATTTAGAAAAATAATAAGAGCTATCATTAGCATTTCTGAACTCCATAAAATTTTACTTTTAATTTGTATAAACCGAGTTTAAATACAATTTTAAGTTTACCAACCTTGATCTGTGCGTCGAATGGTGGTCTTGCTTTGGTAGGACTTTTCCACAGTGTTGCTGTCAGCTGGGTTTTCATCGTTGAGCGACTGGAAGAGCGAGGACTGAGTGGTGGTCACTCGAAAGTTGCCTTGACTGGGTGTTTAGTGATTAGTACAGAAGAGGTAGCTTTAAGGACTGAAATCTCACCCTCCATTGTCGGCTTCCTTTTTGCCCTCCAATAACGACACGTTGCAGCAGCTGCTGCCGCCCTCGAGATCCGATCCCTGCTCCTCCTCCGACTTTGAGATGGAGCCAAAGTACAGGGACTTGGCCTGCTCCAGTTCCTGGTTTTTCTGGGTGGCGAAGTTGTAAAGGTTGATCATGTCACGCACTCGAATGGGGGTCTCCTTTCGTTTGCGAGGTGTCTGCGACACCGGAGTCTGGATCTGAGATGGGGATTGGGATGGCGATTGGGGTTGGGGCTGTAGCTCCTGATCCCGATTGATCTCCGGAACGAGATTAGAGTTATAAGACAGGCTGCTGCAGTCCTCCTCGATTGTGTTCATGGCGATGGTTGCGCTTGTTGGTTTCTATCTCTCCCTAAACAAAAGTGATTACTGAAAAGGCCTTGAAAGTTCCTAGTAGAATTCAAGATTTTCGATTTGTTGGTTGTTCGAAAAATTCTTATAACCTTTTGTGTCTGTGGGAAAGTAATAACTAACTCGAAATTCGTTTCTGACAATGTCAACTGAATACGACTGTGACCTTTACATCAAAGAGATCTTTTTCGATCTTGAGTGTGAGTAGTAAATACTTCATGTGGGTCCCTCCGAAACAGCAATTCGTTAGCAATTACGTTAACGAAATGTAAATGTAATTCATCTCCGAGCTGCCGAAGATGAATCGTTGGAGGGCGACCTTCAGTGCGGCAATCGAAAACCGAATTCGATCGATCGGATCGCATGATTGATCCCACAGAGGGGGCAGTGATTGAGGAAGGTTCGGTGATTAGTGAAATTTGAGCCACACGCTGAATGCCAATGGAATTGTCTTAGAGCGGATTTAATGCAAGTGTTTTTTTGTTACTCACATTTTCCCCGTTTTGTTTCGTGTACTCTGTGGGTGCATGTGTGTGAGTTATTAATATTTTGAAATTTCAAATTTGAAATTGGGTGAGCAATGACTTGCCGATGCCACAGAAGCAGCATCATCGTACCAGCATCATCAATCGGTAGCTTGCAAGCAGCCAGCTGGAGGTCCATTTGACACACTATCCCAACGGAAAAAAATCCGATTTTAAGGTCAATCTAATGGCCAGCGACACTTGAAGATTGGCTCGATCACAGCTCAAGATTCGCAATCAGCGCCGATGGTTCAGGCAAGGTTTGCGGCCCCTAAAAGCAAAGCTCTGATTGGAAATAAAAGAAGGCAATTGAAGACCCTCTTCTTTGCTAAACAAAAAACCGAAAAACAAGCAAATCTTTCAAGAGTATTTGAGAGGATATATCGTTATAGGAAGATATCCATAATCCAAAGATGCGAAACAGACTAAAAATAGGCTTTCTAATATTTGGTTTTCAAAATTAGGTTTAAATATTTAAGATTTAATCGCCTTTTAATAAATCTCAACACTGATGTACTTTTAAGCATTCTAACTATAAATTGCAGAAGCTATTCTTTTCTACACTGCATTAAATTGGGTAATAAATCACCACAAATTATACTTCACCAACTATGTCTTGTTCCCAAAAAATTATTCAGACCCATTCTACAGGCCATATTTTTAATAACAACTAAAGTCTCACAACAAAGAGGTTTGGCAAACATTGTGACTAATGACGACATGATGGGATGATAATGCATTGTAGAACTGCCGAAATTAATTTGAACTCAGTGTGGGAGTTCTTCGTCCCTTGATCGACATTCTTTGACTTTTAATTCTTACACATCACGAACTTGGAATTCGGTTCTGTTCTGTTATGCTCGTTTGTGCTTTTGCAATTAGCCGCGATGTCAAAGGGGTTCACTCCAGTCATGGCAAAAAGAACAGTGAGAAGGTGTGGGACCCACAGCAGAATTCACACAACAAAAGTACGTATGTACATAGGTGTGTCATCATCATCATCATCTCTGGCTGTGATTCCATTGAAGGTCGCTGAGCCACAAACACACAAACGGCTACAAACATTTGTATCTGCCATTTATGCTCACTGAATCTTTCTCGCTCTCTCGCTATTGGACTAAAATCCCCCTGCTTTCCGCCCACTCGCGGGGGGGCTACACATGTTTAATTGCCAAATTGGTGCAATTCCACATAATTCATGCCGATAGTTGGAGTCGCCACTCAGGCAGTTCTCCATAGCGCTAGTAGAGCTGTTTATTTGGCAAGGTCCCCGGCTTTTGGTTCCAGTGAACTAAGCTTTACGGCTTAGCAAAAGGCAAATAAAGGCGAACCGCGGTTGGGGGCGATTCACACGTTTATTAAGAGGCTTCTTCTTCTCCCAAAGTTGTGCTGCGAATTGAAATGGAAAGTGGAGCGGCTCAGCACACATAATTGATAACGGGCGAGTCATATGCAAATTATTGCGCATACGCACGGGGGCACCGCAAAGGGTGCTAAGAGGAAAGGTAAACACCTTTGAAGCCACAGAAGTAGCTCGAATGATAGCCGCATCCGGTGGTCGCTGGCAAAGTGGCAATTTCGGCTGCTAGCTGCTAGTTGCTACAAATTTGTCAAACCAACAATGCAGCAAGGTCAGCCAAGTCCGCTGAATCCGCTGAGCGATGATGATCACGTTCGCGTCCGGCGTGCGGTCAGCTCTGCCATATCATTGACCTTAAGTGACGAACATGAAGAGCAATGAATAAGCCAAGATTATCACCTTTGGCAGCATTTTATTGCACTTACACAGGCAGCGGCCAAAAACGGATTTGAAGTTCAATTGCAGGCATTTCTGGTGCTCCAGCTTCCTCGGCCCCACTCTCCCCTCCCTTAGCAATCCAATTCGATCTCCATCTCGATCTGCGTTGGACCTACCAAGACGCCCATGGCACAATGTACAACACGACTATTAAAGGTCAAGCTACAAAGCCAGCGCAGTGCCAACGACAACAGCAACACAAAGATGGGACCAAAAATACAAAAAAAGAAACAAAACATAAAAAAACGTTAAGTAAATCAAAGTAAACAAACGGCGCACTTTGTTAATTGTTGAATTTATTTCTATTTCAGTTCGAGTCTCGCTTTCTGCCGTGGCTGCAATCTATTAGAGAATGATCGCAAAGATGCGTCAATCGAAAGACTCAAGACACGAACTGGCCACAAGACAATAAAATGGATTTAACAAGCCGTATATTTGAATATCCATATAGCCCAGGCCGAGGAGGCTTCTTATTGACACTCTTTTCGGCCACCTCTTCAAATTTCCCAAGCGGAGCATGAGCATCGGCAATTTGTTGGCCAACTGCCATTCACTTGCTGCTGCCTCGACTTCTGTCAGGGGTTGTTCTGAAATGCCAAAAAGGTAGCATCATAGCATTGTTTCCCATTTGTTGGCATTGTACTGGTAGGCAACATAAGCGCGACCTTCACTTGGCAATGGAGGAGGAGGAGCAGCTCCTAGCCTCAGGTTGCCCCAGGGCATTCGGCGAACCCGAGTCAAGTGCTCCGCGCAGCCTCTTCAACAATGAAGCCATCAGATCGACAAATATCTTCAATGTGAATTTGGTTCAACGGTTCAATTGTATCGCACATAGGAACTGGTGTGAGTGATTAATTGGTTGGCTTTCGAGGCCCAAAACACACACTGCATGTGTTTGGTCTTGGGATAATGCGAGTGAGTATGGCTGCAGAATAATTCATTTAATATCGAGCGTAAACAACGCAGCCCACAGCGAATTGCTATTGCTATTCAAGTCGAGTTTGGGGCGCTCCCGCTTCGCCGGATGATTATGCCTTTGTACGCCGTGTTAGTCTTTAGATCTGCGCCCCAGCCTCTGATGAATGCTTTCCATTATCCATATAGCCAGGAAAATATGATTGTTAGGTGTCAATCAAAACTTTTGTGTGTCGCGTGTGTGCGCCACGTTGTCGTTGTCAATTAAAGGCGATAAAGTCTCCAATTAAATTTGGAGATGGTAATGGCTTGCGGTTGAATGGCAATTGCTCCATGGAAAATGGTTAACTGCTATTGTTACACCTTGAAAAACTACAAATTGGGATGACGCCAGTCGCCTATTTACAACACGATTTATAATGTAGGAGGTCCTATATCGCCGTACAAATAATCTTTGGATGAATAGCTTTTACTTAGGCATTGCCTAAGAGACTTATAAGAGGTAATATAATCTCTGAAATTCTGACTTAAAATCAAATTGGTGGTATATGTGTAGTACACATTGTGTACCTCAAAACGGTTTTGATTCAAGAAACCTGAGACTAACATTATCTCTGACCTCAAATATTTCATGTATGCTGCCTCTTTTCAAATCAACAGCTGAGGATATCTGTGACCAAAATTAAAATGTGAGTATTTAAACCGGAAATATTTGAATATTTTCTTCTAACTTTTCCATCGATTAACTTAGCCTATTTTTGGGAATCTAATTTCCAAACAAAAATTGTTGCATACTCTTAGGCAAAACAAAAAATGTTTAAAAATTAATCCCTAAGTGAATTGTTAGCTTGGCTTCTTAGCTGTATAAGTCTGTTAACTGGCTTTAAGTTTTTAATTAAAAGGCACTTGAGAATTTCGATTATTTTCTAGATTTATTTCGCTCTGATTGTTTTGGATGGGCGCACCTTACATGCACTCGGGTTTCTTTTATAAATTTATAATTGAAATTGTATTAAATGTTTCGTCAATTAGCTGACAGATTATCTACATTTTAAATTTATTATTTCTTTTTTGGATACATAATCAATCGTTGAATTTTAAGCGGTAATTTTGATAGCTTAGTTTTAGCTGGTTACCAATAGTCGGTTATCATCATACAAGTAGTACAGACTACCTACAGTATTGCCTGCCGAATTGCAAAATATGTATACCTTCGACGTGTACATTTTATGGTAATTGTTTAATTTATAAGTAAATGTTTTTATGCGGGCGACTAGAAATTTCAAGAAAACTTTAAACATACAGTACAATATGTGTTTACGGATACATCCGCTTACGGATTAATTTAATTACTTGCTAAACGATAGGAATCATGAAAATTACTTTATCTTGCATTACTCGTTACGACTAAGGTTCAATTAAATATGGATACAAGCATCTGTTATTCACTTAAATGCTACTTAAGCACTCTTAAACGCAACTATTTAGGCATTTATTCCTCACTCTGTTCGCGAGTGCAACCGAAATGTAACTAAAGTTTGGCGCAACAAACCGAAGCCAATTGGATGGATCGCATTATGCTAAAACGATAAGTATAAGTTAGAGAAATCTTTGGTTGTAACTACAACTGAAATTGAATGTCGAAGCTGACGGGGGGCCATTTGCTTCCTAACTTTGTGCTGGTTAAGGTTTCGGTTTCGGTTTCAGTGTACCCATTCCCAATTCCCTGGAAGTTTGGATGCGGCTATTACGGCTGTTGTGGATTGGTCAATGGGCAAACCTAGTGTCACATACAATATACAATGTATCTATAAATTATCACAGTAAAATAAATAGAAATCTTTTGCTGATGCTGCTGTTTTCTCTGCTCTGTTTTCTGTTTTCTGGGAATCAACCAAGGAGTGCTATAATCCATTCGTAGCTGGTTCAGATTATGGAAGATACGATAGTCATAGTCCACATTTTGGCAAAACTGTTGAACTT